TCGCTAATTTGCTTAATGTTTATTTTAAAACGCCGCTTTTCAAACTGGCCATAAAGCAGTCTGATTAAAGCGGGCCGTGAGGAGATCCCATTGCAATTCTATCTTTCTGTCTGTAGATGTCGCCGGCTAAGGTAAATTCTGCATTCAGTGTGCATCTCAGAAACAATCCTTTCAGATATGATGTTGGTATTCGGATACTAATATTCGAGTTCTCCATATAAAAACACAGGAAACAAACTGATTCTGTTAGTGGCAGACTGATAAAGAGAGATTCGACATCTAAGAATAACATTCGTTTACCATATACATTCAAGTCTTTTATGCATTCAGCGAACACAGACGTATCACGAAGGGAATACTTGCATAGATATTGCCTTACTGACCCCAAATTTCGGACAGCCATTTGGAAATTGGATGTTATGGTGACCCTTACATACCTAGAACTGGTCAAAGCGTCAAGGCAGGTTTGTGTACCCTTGATAAACCGTAGAGTCGGGGAATAATTGATCCTGTCGGTTTCAGGCGATCCTACAGGTCCTCAGGTATCAGACGGTTGTTCTTCATTCTTTTGAGAACATCTGTTAGTTGTTTTTCAGTCGATTCCATCCTATTCTTCTCATTGTTGAGCTTGGCAAGTATGTGGTCATCTGACATAAGAGTTGTCAGTGTGAAAATGGTAAAAGGATGTAATCCCTAGACGTCAAATCTCTCTTTATCAGTCTGCCACTAACAGAATCAGTTTGTTTCCTGTGTTTTTATATGGAGAACTCGAATATTAGTATCCGAATACCAACATCATATCTGAAAGGATTGTTTCTGAGATGCACACTGAATGCAGAATTTACCTTAGCCGGCGACATCTACAGACAGAAAGATAGAATTGCAATGGGATCTCCTCACGGCCCGCTTTAATCAGACTGCTCTATGGCCAGTTTGAAAAGCGGCGTTTTAAAATAAACAATAAACAAACTCTTACTGTACAAAAGGTACGTCGACGATACCCTCGTAATTCCCTAGGATAATTCCGGCTTCAACTGTATTTTACATGAATTTACTGAGTTTGTAGTCCTATGTTTACACTGGCTTTTGAGACTTAGCATACAACATGGAATTTTTATATTCCATAACTTGATTACATGTGGAATTTGTGAATATTTATATTTTCCTAGGTATCCTGAGTTCTCATCACAAATTTAGAGAGGATTATCCAGTGAGAGTATTTCTTATCACTGCGGAAATACCATACCGTTTGCTCAGTAACGTTTCATATTCAGCGCTATTAAAGAATAATGCGATCAAAACATCTTTTCAGGATTAGATGAATTCACTTTATTATCTGTTTAAATAATTTCACTACAACTAGGACTAAATGAAAACAAGTAAATGCTGTTAAAAAAATATAAATATACTTTAAATGAACAACCAGGCTACTTTATCAATGCTTAATAAAATGCCAAAAATGAGGAGGATTAGCAAATTCTTTAGGTAGAATAATAAATTATGATCAAGATATAGACTTTCAGCAACAGCTGGCTTCATCGGCTCCATACTGAAGATCGAAAGGCCAGAATGAATTAACAAAATGGGAATCTGACGACAAACCAACCAAGAGCCAGTTGGTCAACGAATATTAAGCATAGAATGCAGATGGAACGGGCATACACTGAAGAGGCCATTGAATGACATAGCGTTGCAGGCCATAGATCGATTGGAATCTTAATGAGAAGCGACGATTGGGCCATCTGAAAGTGACATGGTGTAGATCGTTTGAGGAGGAGATGAGAAATTATGTGCAATCTGGGTCCCAGCTGAAGAGGACGGCAAAAAAAATAGTACAAAGCGGAGATGTGTTCTTGAAGCCCTTTGTTCCACTCAGAACCCAAAGGAATAATAATAATAAAATACAAACATTCTTATATTACAAAGACATGGTGATTCTGAATTTAAAGGTAAATTCATACACAAGTGAAGCTGGTTATGTAACCGCTTGAAGGGTTGTTCAAAGAATTTAAAATAGGTCAATGATGACGAAGATAAAGGTAGAAATACTGAATAATGAGGAAGTAGGCAAAAGTTAACAGCACTTTACGCCATAAAAAATTTAATTCCGAAGAAATTAATTGAATCCCAAGTTAACCAAGCTAATAATGAGCTTGGAGTAGTCTGTTTCCAAACACGCAATTTGAGCTTTGGGTTTCAAATGGTGACAGTAAAAATGGGTTCAGAATAATTACAAAATGCTTTATCTAGTGACCATCATGAATGATCCTGATATACCGATGTAGTGCCATGTATCAGTTAAGTGCCAAGCTATGGTACATAAGAACTAGGCTGAGTCACTGAAGCACTTATTCAATATTCTTGGTATACACCATCACTCATTTCTTCATAATACTTGCTAACGCACACCCTTGCCACATTTTAGGCTCATTCACAGTTACTTAGAGTCAGTAAAGTGTTTACTTTGGGCTGTGTTATTCAAACTGAAATGTCTTTCTAGACCTAAGATACATGCTTAATGTTACTGCTGTTTTCTCTATGGCATTTTTCCCTCCAATCTTATGACTTTTGGTTTTTTTTATTTTTGAGGGTCACTGGCTTCCTTTTAATTGTATTCTACTCCGCCTTCCTACTGCTGCGTTTGTAATAATTCTCTTTAAATGTTTTAAGGCATCCATTATTCCTTGAAAATTCATTGGTGCGACTAATATCATTTTCTAGCGTTTTTAAAGGCAAATAATTTCTGCTGTCTGATATAGTGTCTTTACCTAAATTTTCTTTTAGCTTACGGAATAAAAGGCGTTGAGTTGAAGTTTTAACAATTACAAGTTGTAATGAGTTAAAGACTCTTTTCTATTATGTCATTTTCCTTTGTTTCATGCACAAATTCAGACTATATTCTTCATTGTGACTGTGATGTTTGAGTGGACACTGGTTAACTTCACTGCCCATATGTAGGCTTATTAAACATAAGATATAACAAATGTATCGTCTATTCACCTTCAATAAAAAAGAAGCAATACTGATTATAGATTACAGGGTGGTGTTTTGTGGATGAGACATGAAAATATTAGCTACTAATGAACTCAATGGACTATCCACTGATACTCTGCTCACCTGTCAGGTATAACTGTAAGTTTAATTCAAACTGGACATTTTTATTTGGTATAAACAAGAAATGTCCCGTTTCAGCCACTGATAATCGAATGCATCAGGCATACTGATGAAGGATATTTATTGTTTTCGGAAAACAGATGCTGGTGAATAGATATTATATCTAATACAGTTATAGATATCCACTGATTACATTCAGTTGTTCTCTTCTTTTAATCGAATGGCATCAGCCTTTTATGGAGTAAGAGAATAAAGTTTTCAAAAGATTTTCTACCTCGTGTGCCAAATAACGGATTATGGATTATGGGTAGAAAAATATCTCATTGACATCCAGTCCTGGTGCAGTTTTTACAGGCTTTTGACGATTCTATTAAGGGTTCTTTCTGTTACACTTTTAATACAATCGCCCAATTTAAATCGTGAACTGCTGACTAGCATTTGATTTGCCTTAGATATGTAGCTTTGTGTATTCCATAGAACTACCCCAGCATTACTATGGGGTTGGATAATCACAAAATGTTTCTGGTTTCTTAATTCTTTAAAGCCAACTGACGTTCCGTAGGCTAATATTTTGGTTGGGAAAAAGAGAAGACAGGTGGTAGAGGTTAGCAATATCAAACAACAACAAGGAGTATAACATGCATTCACTCACCAATAAGTAGACAACTGCGAAGTATTTTGAGGCTTCACCACTTAAAATAACCTCTTTAGTATCAAAATAGGATTTCATGATCCGTTAAAGTCATTCTTACATCTAACATAATTCTTTATGACATTTTATCAAGGAGATAACAATAAACCTTATGAAACTTAGCAGCTATTATCGACGTTTTACGCTTCTAATTTAGACTAAAGTAAATATGAGTCGGTAGATGTCGATATTTGTGGTTTCTGAATTGTGACTAGGTTAAGCTTTTCTTATTTTTAGTATATCACCAATCTCTGATTGGACATTAGCAGCTAGTGTGATGTGTTTAGTCTTTTGTTAGATACTAGTTTCCACTACAGTCCTACAGGAGATCAGTCACGAGTCCGAATAGCTCAGTGGTAACGTCTCTGTCTGCAGCACTGGGTGATGCGGGTTTCGATATGAGTACCTTCAAGGTTGCAGGTACGCCTTACTGACGAGTGCCGACTGGCACGAAACCAAGGTCCAGGCTTCCTGTCGATTGCTTCCAACCATTTTAAATATTATCAATCATCTTATTTTTGTAATGAAATGATTCTCAGACAGTTTTATTGTTTTCTGTCGAAAAATTACATCATTTCTATTGATACTAAATGTGAAGTGCTTGAAAATAGTTTTTAAAAAATGTGTATCGTTACATCCAGTTGTGCACTTACTGATATATTGCATTACTATTTACGAGTTAAGTTCTCATAGTTTTCAGAAAGTTGGAAACTAGCTGGAACAAAATACTACACATACAAATATACACTTCGAGAAATTACGATAGGCTTGTAACACTAATGTTAACTAGAGAAACTAGAGAATGAAAATTACGCCGAATTCGCAGTGCCGGGAGCTAAGCGGTTTCATCAAACGCTTGACAAAATTTGGGCAATGTAGTACCATGTAATTCCATATGAAGCTTTGCCTATCAAATTAACTGAGAATACTTGCAAAAGGAATGAAGAAACATTTGTTCTGAGCATCTCAGAAATTCTGCTACGCTAGCGACATATAGAAAGGGAGAAAGAGTACTATAAAAATCAAGTTTTTGAATTGAGTAGTTACATATAACACACTTGTGAATATTTCATCCAGTAAATAATACTATTTCACTGAGTGATATGTCCATTAAATCAATTCATACGAAATTTTTACAAAATAACTAATAACTATCTGTAATCTTTTACTCCTTAACTGTTCTTATCCTTTATAGATTAAACCACCACTGGAAGAAGAAGTTGCACTCCGTAATATATCAGTTCCTTTAAACACGGAGACCTTACAAAATGAATTAAAGGAGTCAAGGTGCTTACATTATCCAGGAATTTTAAAACTGTTAGATGAAGCAAGACTGTATAAAGCGCTTTATATCCATCTTATCTCGCTTTCCTCGGATGAAAACTACGCAGCAAAACCCGCATTTTATTTTGACACTAACTTTACCACTGTGAGTAGACAGAAATTTTTATTCCGCTTCGTTAAACAACAAATTCGTTTGACGACTGCATATAGGCATGAGTTTGTTCTCAAAAATATTTGAGTAAAGTTAAATTTTGAATTCATTTTTAGTTGAATGGTTGGTAAGATATTTTTAACATTCCTTTAGCGTTTAACTTCTTTAAAAAATGTTACATAACAGGTTATCAAAGTATAAGTGAAACTTAGTGAGATAAAGTGCACGAAGTGTCCATAGTAGGCTGTATACAACTTGAAATACTGCTGAATGGAATACAACGGTTACAGGGTTTAAGATTCAAAATAACATCAACTGCTGCTAATATCAGGTATGCTACCACATACCGAAAACAGTTCCTAGCCAAAAGATAAATGGTTTTCAAGTATTGGTTTGTACGGATTTGGTTGAGTGGTTACAGGATTTCATCATGAGCTGACAGTGGTTATAGAACCACTGAAAACCTGACAGTACTGGACAGCTGTTTCGTCCAGTTTGAGACACTTCATCAGTACGAATAGTTTTATTTCAAAACACCCGTATATTTGGTATACTGTAGTGGCATTGAGCTGACTTTAGAAAGCCTTCAGGCAAGTGTAATACACTTTGACTACGTCACTTCTCTTGTAAAGTTAAGATCTTTGGTGTATTCATTACCTAAACGAGCCTGTTGCATATTACATAAACGGCTACTCAAATTTTGTGTAAAGAGGTCCTGGAACCTCCATCAAACACTTAATTTTTGACAGATTCGTTATGTAGGTTGTCTTTTTCATAAATACTTGTGTAGTGTGCAGAATATCCTCCTCTACCTGGTGTGTTTTGGAGGGAGACCTTATGCTATCTGATACATATGAACGATCCTCTGAGTTTATTCTACTTTAGAGAACAAAGTTCTGTAGATGGGTAGAAGAGACTGCTTTTCTCTTCACAATTTCCACGCTTACGTATCAGTGGATTTTATTTAAGGGTGTCACATGCTGCAGCATCTTTAGCAGTTGTATTCTATAAATACTTACGTGTTAACTGATTAAAAATACCCATTAAAATTTTTCAAAAGAGTGGATACTCAACAAAGAGTACTCTTTTCGACAACTTCATCATCAGGCTCTACATTTATGCATACATTACAGTGAATGAATGAATTAGTGTTATGAACAACATCAAGTTTGTTTAAATAACATCGAATCAATAATACTGATAGATTACAGCTCAATAGCATCAACGTAAAATAAGCTGAATGTCAGAAAAATTAGGAAATATAATATTACAAATTCTTGAATTTGTAGTCTCTACTGTAGGCCACGGCAGTAGTAGGGGCTAGCAAGACTCGCTCCTTTTGAACATAGAGTACTGGTTGTTTGAGGTGAATCGAAATAGCCTCTGCTGTTTGGAGCATGCGGTGCTTTGATGACTTTGGAAATTTATTAGGCACCCGGTAGATGATAGAGAATGATTCTTCCACACTGGCTTTGCGATCAGTTTGCATCAGATGGTCCAATATCGGACTGCTAATAGTTTTAACTACACCTTTACTTAGCCATAGTGGGAGATGTTCTCGAGCACGAAAAATCAAGTTCCTAGAGCAACGGCCAATATAACTCGCTCCACAAGCGCAGTTGAATTTGTAGATGCAATTAGAGGTGGCTAGTTTCGTACTTCGTCTTTCAGTGGAGGTAGCACCATCGATCGTGTAGAGAATGATACTTGTAATTCGCCAGCATTAAAAGTTCTTTGAACTGAATTTCGTAATTTCCTCGTAATTATTTCACTTGGTATATCACCCTTGAATTGTAGTCGTATATAAAGTGACTTCTTGTTTACAGATAGTGAGTAATCTTTTTTCGTTTTCTTTTTCATGTGTTTCTTGATAAATTTTTCGGGATAGCTATTTTCGATCAAAGTATCATATACGTATTATGTTCTAAGCCACTAAACACAGTCTGATATTCATGTAAAAGTATATTTCATTCTCCACTTTTCAGGAAGTAATACATCTGTTGGACAGAAAATGTGAGGAAGATCAAAGCAAGTTGTTTGTTACGAATACAATTCAAAGTTTGGACAGCAAAATATACCAAAAGCTTTTTGATCATTCTTTAAAACAGTATAACCGAACTTTAGGTAATTTGTGAATGAATAATCTTATATTATTACTTAATCGTTGCCAATTTTATTTGTAGAATTATTACAATCGTATACGGATAACTTGCAAGAAATAATGATTCGATTCGAAATGTTAAATTTCTGTTTAGAAGTTAATCAGTTGAAGTAAGGCATTTAAACATACTTGTTATTGTTTTTAATCTTTTTAAATTTTAGAAGAGCTACACACCAAGCCTTATCGATCCTTGATATTCTATTCGATCAAAAGACCACGATTGAAAATTTTGATGCTTCACTTAGTTATAATATGAATGACTGTATAGGGAATGATGATATGGAAAATACAGTGAGTAAACACTCTTCCAGAATCATTCAGAAATTTGGTATCACTGGGTGCCTGATTGGTGCTCTAGTAATAGGAATATTGAGCCAGTAAGCAGCCATTTTGAACTAGTCACTATTATATTCTTTACAATTTTAGACATCATCTTGTTTCTGAAGATCAGTGCTGCAGAAGTCGTAGAATTAGCGTGATTTTATTTAAAGTGAGTTTGTTTATATTTGACTTAATTTGCTCAATAAAGTCTCACTGACATCCGCAAGATGTCACCTAGTACATAAAATCTTTATATAACTTACTACAACACATGCCTTAGAGGCCTTCTATACATTAAATTACATTCGGTAATAGGTATATCTGAGGTATACGAATTACGAAAGAAGTAATTGCTAAGATTTTTCTAAATTTTTCATTAAAACCTAAACTATACGAACGTATTCGGCCTAAAAGGGACATGGAAAGTAAGACATGAAAGCGTTTAAATGGTTTAACAGTCCAAAGTGCTTGTCTGTAAACTAAAACAGGATTATAAATATCTCATAACAAAGAAGCTGTGATATCGATAAATACAAAAAGTCGTTTTCAAATTCCTAAATTATTACAGGAAGTGTGTTCACTAATACGAATTTATAGTTAACTGAATATATAGGAATATCGGCGTATCAGCCAAATGCACCGAACACTTCGGTTTCAATAAACAGTAAGCAAAGATTTTCATAATAAATATCTGAATGACTGACTCTGACATTTCAAGTCCATTGAGGACAGAAAGTACCTGTGTAACTGTGCCACAGAATCAGGTTGTATACCCTCAATTTTTCCAAAGGATGGGATGAGCGTTCATTCTCCCGAAAGTCATTGTGTAATTACTCAATGAAGTGATGACACCAACACTTGTTTTTCAAAATCCTATTTGTCTTTTGATACCTTAAATCAATCGAAGCTTTTGTGGTGTAAGCACTTATTAAAGTTTTAATTTTTAAGTAATTAATGTTTTTATTTTCGTTTATTTAATAACTGTCTAGTCAATATTACATGCCAGTTTACCTTGCGCAACATCTGATTTCACTTACTGTTACAAGCACATACCCAGCCAGTCACTGAAGATATTAAATTTGCAGAAGATATTAACAGAATACTGTTTTAGTCCAAATATTGTTATCAAAGTCATGGGTGAAACAATAAAGCATTTAGTAGATTACGAGAACTATATACAAGTAAGTTCAGGCAACAGTCGCTACTTGTATTTTTTCAAGAAGTATTTTCGTGGATAAATTTCTATCGTATTTAAGTGATTACGGTCACTAAAAGGCTGTATTATTTCCACATTTACTAAGAGAATTTTCTGTCGTGCACAAGTATAATGTTACATAATTCAAAATAATTCATTCATTTTAGGCTTCTAGTAGTCTGCATACTTAGAAACTGCTTCAGAAGCTAATTTGCCTCAAATCTGTCAACGTATTAATCAGGTTTTTGAAGTCTCGGCATCGTAGGATCATGGAAGTGACAAGTAGAACAGTTGGTACTGATTGATTCAATATTGATATAGAGAATTCATATAGACTTCTTCACCAACACTCTTATTATTTCGATTGTTGTCAACTACTATTTTGAAAGTCCAAAATGGAATTCAAGAAGTTATGGATAACCCTCATTGTACTCTAAAATATTAATAAAAAAAATGTACATTATCTTATGTAGAGTGAGATTTGATTTGTTACTCAGAAAATAACAGACAAAGAGTTCTAGACCTAGGTTTCGTGTATTAATAACTAGATAGTGAGGTACTGGTTTATCTTTAGTTTATTTTCTTGCTCATTTTGAAAGTGGCGGGAGTATGGGTACTTCTTAGGATACTGTCAGAAAAACTGATTCAGACAAGATCATTCATCATCATTGAAGTTGACACATAGAAAAGTTTTCACAGGAAGACGAGTTATGTAATTGATACGAAGCAAAAGCAACAATAAAGCCTAAATAAAATCTCTGATTTTGCCTTAAAAAGTGATTATAGACATAGTATCTATAATCCATAAGTTCAGCTTATCTCCACTAAGACTAAAACAGATTTACACAGACATTTCTAGTCTGTTTTTCCTTGTCATTCCAAACTCATTTCATATAATTTATAAAGGAGTTAAAACACTTGCTCAACAGTAGGCTTGTGAGAAAATGATTTATAATTTAAATTTTAAAAATGGGTCGTCCTTTTTATAGAGGAAGGTAACATATTCCGTTTTCAAATCAGTATATGAAGGTAAACATATTCTGAGAATATAAATCTGTTGAAACTAGTCCACCAGTTGAGCAGCCAGTCTCTGACTTGTGGCATTTTCTTTTGAAAGTGAGACTATCATCCTTCTGTTCATATGGCATCAACTCATTAGTCAGACGTAATTACAGCCACTGATAACAATAACGTCAGCATAGCATCTAAGTCCACAAAATTTATTATTGTAGTGAAGGTAATCTGGACAGCACTCTTCATTCTTAGTCCTCACTGATTGCTTCCAAGTATTCAGACTTATTATTATAAGACGTTTGGAAGTATTCGTCAGGAAGCCTTACATCTAGGTTTCGCGCTTGTTGACACTCGTCAGTAGGTTGTGTCTGCTATCTGGAAGGAGTCCCTTCTGAAATTTTAGCCCGTATGGCAAGGAGCTGCATATAGAGACTTTAGCAGTGAGTTGCTCGAGCTCGCGACTGACCTTCTGTGGGCTTGTATCAGAGACGTTGACTGAACACTAGTTAGTAACTTTTATCATGCGTCTAGTTCTTTGCTCGTTGCAGACTGAATTCTTTCAGTCAGGTTTGGAATGTGGCCACCGTTCTTGGTAGGATTTGAATCCCTTCAAGATTTCAGATACGCTTGCTGAAAAGTGCCAGCAGGCACGAAGTCTATATGCAAAGCTTCCTGTCAGTCGCTTTCAACCATCTGATAACAACATTTAAGGGTTCACTGGGATGTCAAGCCACCTGGCATGATGGCTAGATTGCAAACTTGACCGACAGAATTCAGTCTGCACGAAGCAGAGGATTAGACGCTTGACACCAGCTACTAACTAGTATCCAATCAAAGTACTGAGAATTATCATAACTGCATTATAACAAAAAACGTGGAATTGTTCTGAGTCAAAATTGTTTTTGCTTTTTTTTGGATGTCTACATTGTGTAATAGTGACAATCAACCGTTGTCTTGTTGATTGTAAAGATTAGTAAGAAGCTAGACTCTTGGTCATCTGTTGTAATTAAAATTAGCTGAATCTCTGAGACAATTAAAGATGATTCTTTCTGAGCACAGCTCATACAGTGTATATAAAAATCCTGTGAGAATCATTGAGCTCGAAAAATAATAGTGTTGAAGGCGTCATGTGTTAGGTGAAATCCCTCTTTAAGAAATCTGAGACATTGGTCTGACACATATCGGCGAATATTTAAAGTTTTATATGGAATCCACTCAACCTAAAATGGCCTACTGGCTAGTTAATGGGGAAAACTTAGATTTACCAATTTCATTAACCAACAACGATCATCTAAATTTTAACAATGTAGATTAACAGACTACGCGACCTAGCACATGGACTTCTTTGTCTCGGTTGAACGGTCGACATCATTCGACAGGAATGACAATGTGATTTTATCGTCAGAAGTTCGAATTCGAGTGAAGTATCTATTATTTCGTTAAATGAGATGCTCACTGTGACAAGATGGAATACAAATTAGGTGCAACATTCAGCAAAATAACATTTTTAGCATAAGATAAGAGCAAAATACTATGACCGGAATCAACGTATTGTATAGTCCCTATTCATGCTAAGCAATTTCATATGTTCATTTTGTTAGTGTGATCCTTTAATGACATGTTTTTCTATTTACAGGCATTTCCTATCATTTACTTGATGTATTATATCAGTAAATATTTATTACAAGATTTACAACTTGAGATAAAGTCAAAACTACTGCGAATTAAATGTCTCATTGGTATTGGTGCATTGAAACAAGCGCTAACTGAAATATGCGCTATTCTACAAGAACAAAGTGATGACAGTAATACACAAGAATGTCAAATCTCTTTAATTAATTTTGATGACGCCAAAATGCAAGATGTAAGTTAACTTTCCGCAATTTCCTACCTGTAAACTAATTTTCCGGGAGAAATCTATTTATTATTAATAAATTTTTTTAATTCCGTTATTTTGTTTAAGAAAACTGACTCAATGAGTAATTTTCTAAAAGTCATTCTCACATTTTTTTTCTTGTAGGGTCCATTAAGTAAAGTAATTTATTGCATCTCACACCTTACAGTGGTAGCGAGGTTAAAAATATCTAGGTCAAAGTAGTAGGTCAGGGTCAGTTAGATTAACGAGTTACGACAATTTATAGACATTGACAACATACAAAGTCTTGAGAAATGCTCAGCTGTATCATTACAATTCAGTAACCCACAAACACATAGTAGATTGATACAAGTTGATTGTCCGAAGATCTATTGTAACAGGGTTAAATAAGAGATTCATTACCGAACCTCTGTTTATCGAATCAGCTAAGAATACATGAATTGGAATGACTCGACATCCATCTGAAAGATTCTACTACCCCCACGACAAATATACAAATCAAGCTGCAAAGTTATTCAGTCGCAGGGTATGACTATTAACAATAAATTGTGTTCGAAGAGTCATACAATAAATAATACTGTTTCACTATGTCATAACTTCAACAGACCAGTTAGTACGAAAGTACATACTACCACAGCATCTGAATATATCTTTGATGTATTTTTGGATGTACTGCTATGTACCTGAACTTAATTTTGTGTTAATATGAAGTGTGAACATCTTTAAATGTCTTTTTGATGGACCAGTATTTCAGTGATTGTTACTGCTTAATGTATGTAAAACATTATTAGAATATAGTTATTCAAAATGCTTCTTATTAATTTGTCATATAATACGGTTAAGTGCTACTACATTCACAAAATTAACAGTCTGAAACCATTTTAATCGTGCGGCTGATGCCGTATACATAAAATACGCTCCTTAAACCGGTATAGCTTGTTTCAACTCTAATGCTGCCTTCATTATTGCATAAAAGTTCAAACCTTTGGATAGAAAAATATTAGAAAAAAGTAGTGGTGATTCTAAGAGAAAATTTTTAGTGATTTTTCTGCTTTCATTGCAGACGAATATGCAATAAAAACGAATACCATTTTTTAAAATTTTTACACATAAAAGTCTGTCAGACATATGTGTGGGTGTTATTTAGTTCAGAAGAAACATTCTACCACCATAAATAGAAGGAAATTTTCTTTTGTTGGGTTTTTGATGTAACAAATATGGAATGAGATTTTACAGTTGATTCTGTCGAACAGAAAAAAACTTATTTTACCGGAAGTAATGAATTTTACTAGGAATTTTATTTTTTAAGTGAACACTGGCGTGACTGTAAGATATTTTCAAATGTATAGACTTTGGATTGTAAAGTCTAGATATTCTGTATTAACTCTGAATGAAGTGTTTTAGACAAAACACTTCTTCTAAACACCATTCATGACAGCGATGAGTTTCATTTATCGCGTGAATACTTTTGCGAACGTCAGATGAAAATTAAGGTTTATAAGATATACCTTTATTGATGAAGTTGTTACTGCAGAAGTTGGACATCAGCAGGATAGCAGAGCGAAACTGTTCAATTGTATTCCGGAAACGTTTATAAACAAAGTGATTTTACTATGGATATCATTTATTCTCCATTTACGTTGCCTTAAACTTACACTCACAGTGAATTGGTGTACAGCAGAAACGTAGAAGTTTAAAAGTACAACTGATTTAAAATGCCTGTGAAACATCTAGCGACCAAATTTATTGGATTATCGTCTGACTGTAAGAAACTATTCCTACATTCTAATGTATGGCCGGCAAAAACTTAGTTAAGACACGTGCTATCACGAAATGTCCCAAAGGCAAAGAAAATATGATTTTTCTTCAATACTTTAGTGGTTCTATAAAACAATAATAACATCAAAGCTCAATTTTACCCCAAAACTACCGTGAGTCAGGTATACAGGCAAGGTATATTTCTAAATACATAATAATACGTATTGTAAGAAAAAATTAGTTAACCAAAGTTCAACTACAAAAGGTACTTTAGAATTAAGAGAATATTCCCAAAGAGTTGAGATCAAGAACTGTGTCCACAAAAGTCCCACACCAACGTTTCTCGGGTCGGAATAACCTTCATCCAACCAAACAAAATCCTGCTGTAAAACAACAGACTGTCAATATACACAAAATAACAAACAGAAGAAAATAAAAAACAAATTCAGCGAAGAAAATTTTCTTTATCGACGAAATCATCTTCACAGGCTGTACAGTCGTATTTATACTTACAAAAATAAATAGTGGTCTATTATTAAGTAATAGGGGATGACATAACTGATATAGTTAGTTACTCAGAAGTGGCCTTACAAGTAAAAATTAAAAGTTGTAAATTACATGGTACTCAATGGCACAAAGATAGAAATTTGATAAGGTTAAGATTGCTATTGAGTGCGAATAGAGGTATTTGAGTGTCAACTAAACAAGTGTGACAAGGGTGTGAAAATATACAAAGGGAGCATATGAGAGTGATAATGGTGAATTAACTGTTAAAGCAAAAGCAAACTTAAAGCGTTATCCGACATGGTTAGCAGAGGGACAATGTAAGACAATTACTAGCTCAATTCTCGAGCATTTGGTGAACACAGGCCACGTAGCTTTACCAGAGTTGTCTTTTAAAATCATCAGCAAAGTGAAGCCAAATGGTACAAAGCGCGTCAGGTTTCGACCTTTGTGTATGGTGGAGGCGCTGGCGATTTGTCAATACAACCCTCAACTCTGTATATAGAAAAAGTTTGTCCAGTCTCTTATTCTACCTTGGTCTTAACCTATTCACTAATCGTTCCCTGTAAAAAGTTTTGATTTTTTGTTTTTTAATTTTTAATTTTACTTTTAGTTTGCTTTTACTTTAATAGTTAATTCACTATTATCAATCTCATATGCTCTTTTTGTGTATTTTCACACCCTCTCACACTTGTTAAATTGACACTCAAATACCTCTATTCGCACTCAATAGCAATCTTAACCTTATCAAATTTCTATCTTTGTGCCGTTGAGTACTACGTAATTTACAGCTTTTAATTTTCGCTTGTAAGCCACTTCTGAGTAACTATATCAATTATGTCATCCCCTATTACTTAATAATAGACCACTATATATTTTTGTAAGTATAAATACGACTGTACAGCCTGTGAAGATGATTTCGTCGATAAAGAAAATTTTCTTCGCTGAATTTGTCTTTTATTTTCTTCATAACAAACAGAAGTACTACAATTGAAGATTGTACAAGGACAAAGGTAAATGATGAAGGTTGAAAATCAACACCTGTCGGGTAAATCTCAAATTATTGATACCCAACCTAAGGGGAAACACATATACGTATACAAAGTTAATTGCAATGTCTTAATAAGTACAAATGTCATAAGTAGTTCGTTCAGGGACAACTAAAATATCATAGTAAAACCTGCAGCATTATGTGTCTATATTTATCCAGTAAAATATGTCATAATGAGGATGCAAATGAAACAAAGGGTACCTTTGTCAGGAAAAAGACTTTATTTTTACTTTAACTATTAGGTGAATTGTTCAGTTGAATCTGCAGCAATGATTATCCAATCATTTTTCCACTTTGTTTCACCTAAACAATGAAGACTCTTTTTACTACTAATAATAATATGTAAATAATAATATGTATTCTTGAATTTTATTTACCATTTTTAAAATATATTTTTTAAGTGAACTTTGTTTTGAAATGAAATATTTGAATTTCTTCCTAACCAACTTATAGCCTGAATTCTTTGTTTTCAGAAAGCTATTTAACATCAGTTAAGTGGATAAAATAACAAAATAGAATTGAAACATAATTTATTATTCAATAAAACTTTGTTTACACATAATTAACAGAGCTGATTTACTTCACATATCTGTGCTTATCAGTGATTTTTTTGAAAGTGAGATTGTTGTGAGTAATATAGAGTTGACTGAAACAAATAAATTATGTTTTCTAACTAGAAGCCTAGATAAGAAACAATGCATAAGGAGGGCGGAGCGGGGCGGAGTGGGCAAAGAGATCCTATATTCATTTGTTTATAGTGTTTTGTTTTCCCAGGAAGTTCTGTTCAAATTACAACTGGCATTCAAAATTAGTAGAATAATAAAAGTTAGATTGCGTGATTAACTAAAAGTTTGACGAAATTTTCGACCAATTATTATGAGTTGAGTTTCAATAAAAACAAAAATATTGCTGACCACTGTATTCACTTGAAACCTATTCTTTTGATTGACTACTACTCCGAATATCATTACACTTTTGATGGTATTAGATGGTTGGAGGTAATTGGTGGGAAGCTTTGGACCTAGGTTTCGTGCTAGTTGGCACTCGTCAGCAAGGCGTATCTGCAACCTTGAAGGAACTCATTTCCCTTCTGAGATTCGAACCCGCGTCACCCAGTACTGCAGTCAGAGACGTTACCACTGAGCTATTCGGGCCCGTGATTGACCTCCTGTAGGACTGTAGAGGATATTTTACTAGTTACTAGTGTCAAATCAAAATATCATTACACTTTATCAGCAGTGAGGTAGAGACACCAAGAATAAATAATTCCCTAAAGATAATGAGGTTCAAAATACATTTGAAGGTAACTTATTCTGAAATTGAAAATTCCATTCGAAATCAAATATCCATGGAAAATTGCTAAAATGAATTGGTGTAAACCTACACAATTGCTGTTTTGCCAAAAACTATTATTTTCTGTCGGTTTAGCATACTTTACTGGGGCAGATTTCTTGTACATGACACGTAGTCATTATTCTGCCTTCACATTTAACCATATAACCACTAGTGACTTCTAGCTAGATTGGAGTGGTCTAAACCCCGGACGGCTGTTTCCCTCGTTTAAGACGTGGCACATAAGTGGAGTACCTGGGTTGATTCAGCTATGAGAATGGAATCAGTTGAAACCATCTAGTTTATTCAGGCCAGTTATTTGGTTGAACTGGTAGTACGAAAA